CTGACCTCTATGGCTCGACAAAAGTTTATGGCTTTGTCTAGACTCAGATTACACTCTCTTAAAAGACGCTCCTGTGTGGTTTTGTCATAAATGCCCATGACAATATGGTCTCTAATCATATCATCAGCTTCAGGATAACCTGTTGTTTTCACAGCTTTTCTCAATTCTGTAACGAAGTTATCAAAAGGCTGTCCTTCTTTCTGTATAACACTATTAAATTTGAATCTCTCAAATATAACATTCTTCTGTGGCGAACAGTAGTTATCATACTTCAGTTTTATAGACTCCAGTGTCCTCTCTTCACCTTGATTGAAAGAAAATGTGTTATAAAGCTCTAGTGCTTCGTCGCCAATTAGACTCAAGAAAACAGCGATTTTCTTTTCTTCAGGCTTTGTAGATTACTCTGTTGCTATTAAGAATAAATCAAATCTCTGGCTGAATCTCCTCCAGTTTTCAGCTATATTTCCGTCTAGGACGAGTTGATCTGGTGGCTTGAACAAATTCTCCATCTTGTTCTCTCGTGGTTTCTAGTTTCCAGCAAGTTTGGCTACGTCTAGCGCCTCTGATCAAGTTTTTTCCACAATTATCAAGCTTTGTATTTACCTGACACCATGTATAATATCTTGTGGATCGGTAATAATACAACTAGTTACAAGATGTTATATTATATTGTTGAACTTCCAGAATGTTACAACTAGCACTAACTATAAACATGTGGTTACATCCATGTTCTAGAAGGCAATGCCTCATATCCCCTAGTCCCTTATAAGACCACGCAATGTCGCCTGTCATAATGTCAAGAACGTCAATATGACCTAATGGGACATAGAACACAAAACATATATAAATAGTAGGCAGTAATGCCAACTTACAATTGACATCATAATACAGCTCCTTCTTTAGGCATTTTCAGTATAATGTTGGTTTGATTGGTTGTGTTCAATCATATGACTACAAATCAACTGATTTCATTGGATTTCTACTTGAGCAGGACATGTTCACTCTAATTATACATACCAAGTCCATGCTCTGTCAAATAGTCTATTTCAGATTTTGTGGGCAAAAAGTCAACATTTCTTCTTTTCGAGAGTAATACTGTTCTATGTATTTTTTCTATTTTTTTTTTCTTCCTGTATTTTTCAAGGGAGGGTTAGGCCTGAATAAAGCCCTGGTTGTAGTCAATACTTTCTCAAAATCATCATCAGACTCTTCAGAAGATGACTGATAGACTGCTGTTATCAACTGCTGAGCTTGTACTGGTGCATTATCCATTATAGGTTATAGGTACTATAGGCAGCCTTCAATATACCTATAATTGGAGAACGTTTAGCTGTAGAGCAAAAATAAAAGGTGACAATACATTATACAACATGAAAAATGTTTGGCAGTTGAAAAATTGTCTTCTTATAACTGAAATATTTGATTTTTTTTTTCAAGAAATGTGTACCATACCTACCTATCTCAATAACTAACTGTTTTAGAACATGCACCTAGTATTTCATTGAGTTTAATGGAATTTCCTGGACTATCACATCAACTTGATAACCCTGTGAAGGTCTCAATACCTTATTAATCATCAGTATAATATAGGCAAAACTCATAAAAGTGAATACCATAATATTCAAAAAACTTGGTATTTTTAAGTAGTGAGTACATAAAGTGATAGGAAATATTTGAGAGAAATTGAAGTTGAAGATATGCTGAGATTGTTTGAAAATTAATTTGAAAGGAATCCAAATAATGGAAGGAAGTAAATACCTAATGAAAACTATATATTGATGAGACTGAATATAATCAAGGAGGACAATTGAAAAAAAAACTATACCTATACCTACTAAAGAAGTTTGATCAGAATAGAAAATGAGAATGTGAAATATTATGAAGTTATAATTGAATAGGTATCTAATACAATATGTAGGTATTTAAACATTTCAGGGTAAGTACACCATATAATAAAAGTACCTATTCAATGAGCTGTGTGCCCCTTGATTGGTATTTATTATAATTAAAAATAAACCTATATACAGTGTGTCCCACTTACCATGCTCACCATGGGTATCTTTTTAACGGTGAGAGATACGAGGTCGGTTAAATGACACCAAATGTGGAGTTTGTCAAGGCCAACTATAATGTGAAAAAATATTTTGATGAAATCTATTCGTTTTTGTTTTATACGCAAAAAACAGATTTTGATCATTCTCCTGTCTCCTACGTAACTTCTTTATTTATGAAAATATTCAAATAGGAATTTCACATTCTCATGGCAGTTTCTCAAAGTGATTTCGAAAAAAATATGAAATTTATACCAACTCTTCTAGAATTTGAGATAACAGCACCAACTTTAGTTTTTCAAATGTAGCTCATAGCTCACTATGACTTAGTTACAAATAACTTTTTTTTCTCTTACAGGTGATATGTCGCAGTTATAGTTTTGTATTGATAACAACGGAGTTATCGTCATTTATACAAAAACTAAAAATTATTTGGAAGCCGCCATCTTGAATTCATAAATTTTAACATAAATATCATGATCTCCGACCTCAAAAACCTCCACTTACCAATTTTGAATGGAATCGGACCAAATCTTGTCCGCCATCTTGGAGCAGCCATTTTTTGAAATTTCATCAAAAATTCCATAATGTATTGTCACCGAAATTATGAACACCTGCCAAATTTCAAGTTGAATTCAAGTTATGGAGACAAGAAAATGATCAAACTCTGTTTTTTTTTGCGTATAAAACAAAAACGAATAGATTTTATCAAAATATTTTCTCACATTATAGTTGGCCTTGACAAACTCCACATTTGGTGTCATTTAACCAACCTCGTATCTCTCACCCAAGGTGGATAGATATAAAAAAGATACCCATGGTGAGCACGGTAAGAGTGGGACACACTGTATACTTACCTATTTATCAGAATTCCGAGAATGTATAAAATAAAAAAGGTATTTGAATAATCTGTATTTAAACATTTTAGAGTACTGGTACTGATAGGTAGAAGTGAGGGACATTTGCAAACATTTTACAATTACAGAGGTATTCCATGAGCTGTTTGCCCCTTGGTATGGAAATGAGATTTTTCTTGTACGAATTGGAAAAGGTATATATAGCTTCTAAATGAGTAGTGTTCTAAGGAATTAGAAAGGTGGATTTGTTCTAGGGTAGGCAATTGTAAAGGTAAATGAATGTGATGGTAAACTCACCTCACCATTTTGGCAGTTTTATATAATAACTAAAGGGGGCATAAGGGTGTGAAAAGAAAACTAACAGTTTCAATCTTACCTTTTATAAAAGGCGAATAAAAATATTAAAGGAATGGTATGATACTGTGGTATGTATGATGTACGACTCTTCAACAGTTCTCAATAATCTATGCCGTTTCTGCGTTTCTCGTACAACGGCTTCAACGAGTTCAACGTAGATGAAGTCACAAATCAGTGATACTTTAAACTTTGGACTCTCTGCTATCGAGGTCCACAGGACAAAAAAAGAAGAAGTCATTATCTTTTTCTTCTCGAGATTTATTTATCTTTTTAGTTTTCACCATGTTTTCACTTACAATACATGAGGCTTAATGTTTTGCAAAAATGGGTTATTGCATTTGATGAATTTTGCTATATCAATTATTCCAATACATGAATTGTTCAAATATTTGTTTTTACAATACATTGATAGTTAATGTATGGTATAAATCAGTTTTTGCTATACATTGAAATCAATGTATTGCAGAAACTATATTTTTACAATACATTGCTTGTAGTGTATCTCACCATCGTTTTTACCATACATTGCAAGTTGGTGTATTGTAAAAACGTTTCATTTTTGCAACACATTGCAGCAATGTATTGTAAAAACGTTGTATTTTTGCAACCCATTGTGGCAATGTATTGTAAAAATGCCAATTTTTGCAATACATTGCCGCAATGTGTTGCAAAAATAACAGTTTTCACGATACATTGCTCTTCAAGTATTGTAAAAATGTCAATTCCTGCAGCAAACTGTTGCAAAAACACAATTTTTGCCATACATTCGATCCAATGTATATTAAAAAGTAAAAAGGCACTCCATACGTTTCGAAATTTTGAATTGGTTTCGAAAATGATTTTAGAAGAGGGGTTTTTTGTTGAGGAGATTGAGAAATTTCATTGTATATGGGATCTCAAGCATAAAGATCACAAAGACAAAATATTATTGGAAAATGCTTGGGAAACAATGGCTGTTTTGTCAGAATGTACAGGTAAGGGAAAAGGGACATTTTCTAGTAATAAACTTGAGTTTTTTTATTAGGTATTTTGCAGTATACCTTTTTGAGATATCAGGACTTGGCTTTATGAAATAAAGATGTCTTACGATGACCTTTCAATAAATGGATTTTTATTCTTATCTTTTCATTACTACAATCTTGACACGTGAAGAATTTTTGTGCAACAACCTTAACCTTTTATTTTAACTACTGACTTCGACAGTGACATATCGACACCCCCAATCAACAAAGTCGTAACTCATTTACTACAAATTCTCTACAGAGCCGAAAAACGAAAATGGTGAATCAAAAGAATTTATTTTGAAAATAACTGAAGAATGTAGATTTTACAATTATCGGATTCGGGAAATGCATGTTTGAAAGCAACTTTTTTATATATTTTGATGATTCTGAAGGTACAGGAACAGTGATTTTGAGTGAGATACAACCATCAGTGCTCACCCAGTTCTTTGTAGAATAAGATTGTAACTAATACATACAACCTTTATAAATACCAAAATCTATATTGGTTTTGATTTTTGGCAGTTGAAAGGATTCAAGATCAACAATGAATTCCCTTTATGGGATTGAGAATAATAGAATTCATATACATTGATGTAAGTATCGAGAATAAAAATCATGACTACTGGATTTTAAAGATTTAATAAAAAAAAACTGAAAAATACATTCTGAAAATAAAAAATGTTTGCTACAATGTAATGTTCAAGTGTGTATCATAAAGGTGTTTCAATGATTCATTCTGAATCATCTTGAACTGCTGAACCACCAACATTGTTATACTGCAAATTTTTATAATAATTGTGATACATGTCGGGAATAGCTTTTGATGTGCAGAGACTGTTCAAATCTTTATACTTGGCCTTCGATATAGGAATAGGTCCACTGTACGCTGGAAAGACATCAGTAGCAGTTCTTGACGCAATCTGGGTCATTTTTGACTTCCAAGTGGAACAGTTTCTCTGTACTGGTTTTTTGTCCAAATCGATGTAGTGGCTGGTTTCGGATAAAAAGTCATAATGAAGCTGTATGAAATTTGTTTTTTCTCTTTCTATTTTCAAGCACCTAACTTTATTCCATTTAACCTTGTTACCATCGATATCCCACTCAAAATTTATTTGCTTGTTCATCAAATCTTTGAAATCAAGAATCTTACATTGATCCATTTCTTTCACTCCATACGGTTTACCCGTCACTTTAGCAGATCGTATAATGGTCACCCACTGTTCAGGCACATAAACTGTTTGGTTTTTTTTTCGTCTCTCAATGAGGGCATGCATGGAGTCTCCCTCATTCTGAGTGTGGCCCACTTCGAGAAAAATGTGGGTTATATCGATATTAAACTTTGCTGCAGCATAGGCGTACATACAGAAAACAATTCGATTTCTATTCTGACCACCGCAGTTATCAGAATAGAATATGAAATTGTTGAATCCATCTTTGACTTTCATTTCAATGAACATGAATACAGCACTACTGACTTCATTAGCACCTTTTTTAGCGATGGTCTCGTCCCATATGTAGCAAAATCCTTCACTCTTTCCTACATCGAAGATTGTTAAATTGTAGACGGCGAGTTTTCTTTTATAATAAAATAAAGACACTTCCGACATAGGGGTCGACAAAATTTTCTCCAGATCATAACAAGCCAGAACCACTGAGGAACTCTGTTGAGCAATCGCCTTATGCTGTGATTTCAATTCTCTCACTACAAATTTAGAAGCTATGTGTGAAGTATAATCTTCCAGAAGGTCTCCTTTCTCTGCAGTTGAGGCTCTGTTGAATATATCACAAGTTGGGCATAGGTCTTTCTTGGGGTTGAAAAAGTCGATATCATACTCATTGTAGAAAATTTCACGATATTGTCTTTCTGTTGCTGCCAGATCTGGTTCATACTGATTTTCCTGTAGCCATTCTTTATATAGCTTATATAATTTTGGAAATGTCAATGTTTCTACGAAATATTGTTTTTTGGTTCTAGCCCTGACGTAATGTGATTCAACAAACGGTACCTGTAAAATGTGGTTCCTGACAGTTTCTTTGATTTCTTCACGTACCTTATTCGCTCGATTGGCATGACGTCCACGTCGATCATCAAGTTCAACACAATTAGATTCGTGCATATCCATCTTTTTGTAAATGGTTGTGACCCATTTGTCAGTGATGTCCAATGAATCAATAAACATCTTTTTGCAAACCTGAACTTTCTCAGCACCAATCATGAAGAAATATCTGTATGTCCAGTGGCGTCTAGAAGTTTCGATTTTAGATAATAAAACTTGTTTTCTTGGCAATCTTTCAACACATCTGCTGACAAATTGTATTTGTTTGTTATGGTCACCGAGGGCCCAGAAATCAGTGAAAATTCGTGTTCTCATTTCTACAGAAAGCTTGTCAGAGCATTTCCTGGAGCATATCTGTTCACATCCTGGTTTCATTACTCTCTTTCGCATCAGTTTGCCTCGCTGACACATGAATTCTTGTCCCAAATTTTTTTGTCGCTTTTTAATATTGATTTTCCAATTTTCAGGGTCCCTTTTCCTTTTTCGACCGGGATTACTCTTCTTCGGCATTTTCCTAGTCTGTTTCCCTATGTTTTTTTTATCTGTAGAGTCAAATTTGGAACTCGTGCTTGGTTCAATGACATGGTCAGAATTTTCTTTACGAATATTATAATTCACTTCACAGATCCTGTGATTTGAACTTGGGCTTGGTTCAATAACATTGTCAGAATTTCCATAGGAAATAATATCATGCATTACGTCGATCATCTGCCGGTTTCCTCTTGTTGGTGAGCCTGCAAAAAAATTAATGAAAAATTGGGAAATGTTTCCATTTCGAGCAAGGATAATCTGGTAATACCAGCAATTTGATTTAATCTTGATTCATAATTGTGGAACTCTTTGAACATATTTTTCAGAACTATTTCATTCACAATGACTGTTGGTGTGAAGAATATTCAAAGTAATTTGCCATATAACTTCCATATCTCACCTTCATTCTCAGAAGGCACATATTCTGATACGTCTGGGGAGAATGGTTCTTTCTCTCCGCTGGATTCTGACTCTGCATATACCAAGTTATTGTAACGGGGTCTCAACTGTTGTTTGAACTCCAGCAAATCTTCAGCATTCCTGATGAGTGGCGACTTATACATAGCCATATCTTCCATGCTTCCACTTGAAATTGGAACATCATCATCGCTGATGAGTAGCTTATTGACTTTTAATACATTTTGTGTCGATTCAGTTGCCATAGAAGTTTTATCTGTGATGATTGGCGTTGCAAATATTGATTCTTCTAGAATCTGTTCATTAGTATTTGAAGTAACTTTCAAAACATCATAGTTACATCTTACAGTAGCATGTGTCTCATGAGAATCTGTAAAACATCAATCAGTATAATTAATTATTAGACAAGAATAGTATCAAGCCAAAATAACACTATGAAATATTTCAATCTCATATAATAGCTGATGACAATATTTAGTTCCACTGAACCAAAAGGAAAGAAACTGTGGGCTATATGCACGAATATGGCATATTTATGTGCAGCAACAATATCTAACAGGATCCATATCCAACTCGCTGATAACTTCTGGGGAATATCCCAAAAGATAATAATATACAACTCATATTTATTTTCTTTTCAGGTCTACGTGACACAATAATGTGTGACACAAATTCACTGAAAAAGTTCTAAATAACATTCTTCAGAACGAAAAACAGAAAAAAAATATCCCCTGCTCCCCTAACCTACGCGCCTGATCGATAAGCGAAACACATAAAATATTTAAAATATCCTCTTTACATAATGGGTATACGTTTCTTTTGTATTTCTTTGGTCATTTCGATATTTATCAGCTTATTTTCATATTAGGTACACTTTGAACACACTGAATAAAAACATTGAACGTAATAACACAGGTAGGTACAGAAAATTTTAAAAAGTGAGGTTATCAAGAGTACTTACCCGCGTGAGAATCCGATTTTTCGTTCAATTCCAATGCCATTCGAACTATAAGTTCTCCCTTTGGTACTATGTCTTTATGTTCACCTCTTGGCATTTTGAGAAAGTTGAAATATTGCAAGGAAATATGCGAGTTACACGATGTAAACAATGACTGGTGACTAAAACAATGCTGCAACTCTACGAGCACCGCAAACTATATTGGGCAAACTTCCATAGAACAGGGTTGTATCTCGGAATGCGATATAATATTATCAATTCATATAATAATAAATGCGAATAAGAAGGTTGTATGTTGTGTAACGTCTCAGTATAGAACAAATCACTCGGAAATAATGATTTCAACAAAGACATTTTACATTTACAACCTTCTTGATGCTGAAATGAAACAATTGCGATGAGATACTTCTTTGTCCGATTGAATATCTGCTTCCTTGTTGGTCGTAGAAATACGCCGTTTAAATTGCTATATTCCTCTCTTTCCGCTGAGTACGTCTATGGCTGTAACTCAAATTGGGTTTAATTCGAGTTACAACTTTGTTCATTGTGGGTGTCGATATGATGTGACTGATTACAAAATGACACTTATGACAGTCTTGCATAGAATGTAGAAATGCATCATAGGCACCACAAAACACAACATCCCCCCTCAATTCTACATTAGATTGCACTATACAAAAATAATAAAATAAATCATCTTCAATTTAATATACATTTCAAACAAGTTACATGAAATGAAACGAAATAACCTAATACCTAATAATCAAATATACCCACAATCAAAAATATACCTTATAATTTAATTCATATTGAGAGATTTTCGAAATGAAGAAAATTTGTTGACATTCAAAGCCTTAGTAAAAATATTAGCAATCTGTTCACTAGTAGGAATATATTCAATTTCAATTTTCTTCATTTTGACCAAATCTTTCATAAAATGAAATTTAACATCAATATGCTTTGATCTCTTTGTTTCATAAGTATATGCGATTTTTATTGTAGATTGATTATCCTCATATATTTTAATAGGATATACATTCTTATTGATCAAGTCTGTCAGTAACTGTCCTAAAAATAAACACTCAGTTGTGCAAGAAGCTAAGGCTACATACTCTGCTTCACAGCTCCATAAAGCAACAACATTCTGTTTTCTTGAATTCCAAAATACAGTATTGGCATTCACTTTCAAAAGAAATCCAGTTGTACTTTTCCTATCATTGCAATCGCCAGCGTATTCTGAGTCTACATAAGCATATATGTTTATCTTAGGATCAGAATTCTCATAATAAGTTAAGCCTAGGTTTTCACTACCTTTAAGATATTTAAGAACATTTTTTAAATAATTCCAATGATTGATTTCAAAACAATTTTGAAATCTACTAAAATAACACACTGCGTAACATAGGTCAGGCCTTGTACCTAACATCAAATACATGAGACTGCCAATTAGTTCTTTATAAGGAACTTTGAAATTTGCATTAGAATCCCCCTTCTTCAAATTCAAATTAACTTGTATAGGTACTTTTGTCGTCTTACAATTGGTCATATTGAAATGTTTCAAAACTTTTGAAATAAGAATTTTTTGGCAAATTGTGATACAATTATTTTGTTGTTCTATTTCAATTCCTAAAAACCTTATTCGGCCATTTCTGTTGCTCAAATCTCTGATTTCTAATTTCATTGAAAGCTTAGTTTTTATTTGATTCACTTCATCAACTGACCTTGACAAAATAATTATATCATCTACCCAAATAAGTAAAAATATACATTCTGTATAATAAAGACATGGATCAGCTTGTGAACGAACAAAGTTCATTTTCAACAGATAGTCATTTATGTAATCATTCCAACATTTAGGACTCTGTCTATGTGATATATCTGATGTATGCAACCAACATTGCATACGGTTGAAGCCAGAGCAGACAGCAGCGCTGGACGCCAGAGCTAGTTGGGAATAAACCAGTTGCCTTCTAGATGTTGTATTAATCACTACCTGTCCCAGAATATATAACATGGCGCAGTCTTGAAAAAAAAACCACATGTGCCGGTAGTCAGCCATGATGAATTATTGAGAATCAAAATTTATTAAATGGTAAATGAAGTTATAAAATCTTCAAAATGGATCATAGAGCAGTCCCACCAATAATTATGACAGGAAATATTTCCGAAAATTGGAAATTTTGGAAACAAAGGTTCCTGACGTACCTTCAAGCCACCGAAATCAGCAAAAAGGAAGATGTAACAAAATGTGCTCAACTATTAACTCTCATAGGAGACGAGGGTATTCGAATATATAATACATTCACTTTTGAAAATGAATAAGTTGACAAATTTGACCCTCTGATCAAGAAATTTGATGATCATTTCAACCCGAAACGAAATCTTGCTTTTGAACGTCATAAAATTTTAACGTGCAGGCAAAAACAAGGTCAAACTATAGACTAGTATATTACGGAATTGAAGAACTTGTTATTAAATTGTGAATTGAATACACTTCGGGAGGGTTTAGTCAAAGACATATTGATATGTGGTATGATATCAGAAATATTGAGAGAAAAATTGTTACAAGAAGATGTAGATTCCTTGCAAAAAGCGATAGACATTTGAATAACTATGGAAAACGCTAGAGATAACAATGAAAAAATCATGGTCAACGTAGATTTTGTGAAAAAAAATCATCATTCCAAGCCAAGCAGTCAAAACAGATCCAGAAAAAGTTTGAGAGGTAAAGATGCAGAGAGAAGACAACCTGAGAGATATAATGCAAAGCCTATGACCAGGAGCTGCAGGAAATGTGGTAACCAGCATGGTTATGGAAAATGTCCCGCTTTTGGTAAAAAGTGTCAAAAATGTGGTGTTCTCAATCATTTTTCCTCAAATTGTAAAAATAAAAACTTTAATCAGAGTAATAATTACCAAAGTCAATCTAGAAATGTTCATTCAATAATTGGAAATGATACTATTCAGAGTAATAATTACCAGAATAAATCTAAAAATGTTCATTCAATAATTGAAAAGGATGTTATCCATAGTAATAATGATTTTCTTTTCATAGGGAGCATAGAAGATGCTGGAGGACAGGAAGTGGACAATCTTGATGTGGAATCATGGGTTCTGGATCTGGAAATAAATGAAAGACCAGTAGAATTCAAACTTGACACTGGGGCAATGGCAAATGTAATATCTGTAAGTGTTTTGAAATCAGTAAATTTCGATTTCAATAATTTGTATAAAACAAATATAAAATTACGTTCATATGCTCAAGATAATTTATCAGTAATTGGTCAATGCAAATTCAAAGGAAATTTTGTACATCTTTTATTTTATGTGGTTAATACAAAAAGTATTCCATTGTTAGGCTTAAAAACATGTATAGATTTAAATCTTATAAAAAGAATTGAAACTATAGAAACTGACCCTGATAAAAGTATAAAAACAACAACAACAAAACTTGTTGGTAGAACAGTTAGTAAAAAAGTATAATTTTCTGTTCGAAGGTATTGGATGTTTAGATAAACTGCATCATATTGAACTTAAAGAAAATGTTCAACCAGTAGTTCACCCAGCTAGAAAAATTCCATATGCAATTCTAGATAAATTTAAAGAAATTATTGATTGTTTAGTTGAACAACATATGATTGAAAAATCAGAAGAAAGTGCAGATTGGGTAAATGCTATAGCAATAGTTCGAAAAACAAATGGACAACTGAGAATCTGTTTGGACCCTATTGATCTAAATAAAGCTATTGAAAGACATTATTTCCGTTTACCTACTTTGGAAGAATTAACTGCAAAATTGTCAGGTGCTCAATATTTTAGTACTTTAGATGCAACCCAAGGTTTTCTTCAGATTAAACTAGATGAAGAAAGCGCGAAATTATGCACTTTCGCAACGCCCTTTGGCAGATATAGATTTTTTCGATTATCATATGGCTTATCTAGTTCTTGTGAAGTTTACCAAGAAAGAATGGAAGAAATATTTGGAAATATAAAAGGAGTTGAAGTATATGTTGATGATCTGATAATATCAGGCAGAACGATAGAAGAACATAATTCTCGTTTAAAAAAAAGTTTTTGAGTTAGCTGTAGAACATAACCTTAGATTCAATAAAAACAAATGTAAAATTTTTGCTGAAGAAGTAGAATATATGGGTCACAAAATATCAAAATTTGGATTGCAAGCAGATGATTCGAAAATTCAAGCTATAAAAAATATGCCACAACCAAGAAATAAAGAAGATATACAAAGATTTTTAGGTCTAGTCACTTATGTAGGAAGATTCATTGAAAATTTGTCAGAAAAGACAGCACCATTGAGAGAACTCATAAAAAAGGACATAGTATTCATTTGGGAAAAAGTTCACAATGAAGCTTTTGAAAATTTAAAAAAAAAATAATTAGTAAAAGTCCTTGTTTGAAATTCTTTGATATCAACAAACCAACAACGATATCTGTTGATGCTTCAAAAAATGGAATGGGTGCTGTTCTCTTACATGAAAATATGCCTTGTGCCCATGCATCTAGATCTTTCACTGATACGCAAAAACGCTATGCTCAAATTGAGAAAGAACTTCTAACAATATGGTTTGGTATAGAAAAATTCTATCAATATGGTTTTGGAGAACATTTTTGTGTTGAAACTGACCATAGACCATTATTACAAATCATTAAAAAACCATTGAATATATGCCCACCAAGATTGCAAAGAATTCTGATTCAACTGAGAAAGTATGATTTCACTTTGATTTTCAAGCCCGGTAAAAAATTAATATTAGCAGATACTTTGTCCAGAGCATTCGAGAATAAAGTATTTAACGAAAATATTGATATCGAAATCGAAGCTCAAGTATGCTTAATTTCCATGAACCTGAATATCACAGATGAAAAACGTGAAGAATATATCAAACAAACAGATTCAGATAATGAATTAATTGCATTGAAGAACATTATAAAAGAAGGTTGGCCAAATAAAATCAAAGATGTACCAGAAAATTTAAAATTTTATCACAGATTAAAATATGAAATAACAGAAATAAATGGTTTGTTATATAAAGGTCAAAAATGGATTGTAGCAAAAAACTGCAGAAAAGATATATT